TTGTAATGTTTGTTGTTGTAATGTTTGTTGTTGTAATGTTTGTTGTTGTAATGTTTGTTGTTGTAATGTTTGTTGTTGTAATGTTTGTTGTTGTAATGTTTGTTGTTGTAACCTTCTGATTCGCCCCTGCTGGACATCTGTGAAAAAGAGCTTCATCGCTCATCGGATTCCTCCAGCCTAAATACATATTCTGAAATAAGTACTTCGTGCGGTGTGTAAACATCAGCGCTGGGGAGACAAAGGCGGCCAGGCGTGGTGCTGGCCGCCCACACCTCTCGTGCACCGTACCGGCACTTGCCCCCACCCAACGTGTACTCTGAAGAAGGGTCATTGCCTGAAACGTCGCCTATTAAGGCCACAGTGTTATTGAGGTTTTGTTGTTGTTGTTTGTGGTTGCGCACCACTGCCAACACAGCAGCAACATCACCACCACCACCAAACTAAGTTGCCCCAACACTCTGTTAAAGGCTACACAGGGGAAACTTGTGCGTATGTGTCTGTCTGTCTGTTGTGTGTGTGTATATATATACAGGGTGGCCCAAAAGTCAGAACACAGGGTTATTATATTTCTTTGAAGAAATAATGAAGGGTTATTTTCATTTATTTTCGCAAACACTGACTTCCGTGAACATTGATGCATGCGTGAATTCTCCCTCACGGGTATAATAATGTTTGAATGTTCACGAATTATTTTGATCAACTGTCTTTACATTTTTAAACGTCATCTGAATAGGAAGAAGGAAAAAAATATATAAAAAAAATGTAACAGATAAAAAATATATTAACTTAAAGATCAAACTATTAAAAAGTATGCACGCTGAACTTCTTTCGCACCGTACGTAGCCAACCGTGCTAATCGGAGGTGCGGGGCAAGGACAAAACACTAAACGCACGCAATTTCTTTTTAATGCCAGTGTTAAATAAATATAGTAACGCTGTGTGTCCTTACTATTGACCCACTAAGTATATATGAGTTGCTAAGCCAAGCTTTCCGTATCTTGAACCGGTGCCCCCGTGTATGCTTGTGCGTGCCTCTGCGTGTGTGTGACCCTGTGGGAGTGTAGTAGCAGTGAGCGCTACACTGCGCTGCGAACCCGGCCACCCGAGTTCGACTCACGCTCACGGCCACCACGAACACCGGTGACGATTATCTGAACCGGTCACGGGCCTCCCTTAGCTCGACTCGGCCTCAATTGAGGACCCGGTGCGGTGCGCGGTAAACATCGCCACCGCGGAGACAAAGGCGGCCGGGCGTGGTTGCTGGCTCACCCACCTTCTCGTGCGCCGTGCCGGCCTTTATAGGTGCTGCTCGCTAACAGCACTTGCCCCTGCAGTCTGTTACAGGCTACACGGGGGGCACCTTTGGCTGTGTCTTTTTGTGAAGCCTCTCGAAGCCGTTTGCTTTTCCTACCACTCCTCGCCTCTTGAGCTGCTCGCTCCGCCGGTGCGCGTTCTGCTACCGCTCGACTCGAGGGCCGATGAGCACCATCGCTTTGTCTTCACCGGTGCCGTTCCTGCCGTCTCTCTCCCAAAGGCGCGGTCACAAAGCAACCGCGGCACATGCCTCGCGATTACAACGGATTAGGGACGAAGTTGTATCACTTGGCACGCGAACCGGACTTTGGAGTCGGCGTGTATTTGTGTGTGTGTGCAGACAGTCCCCGGGTTACGGAAGCGTTAGGTTTCCCGGAATGATCCGTAACCCGAATTTTCAGTATGTCGGAAACTGAACAAATTCCCCCCCCCCAAAAATCAAGATAAAATCCCATAGCCGGAGGAAATAGTTGTTGCCTCCCCTCGCCGATTTGCGAGTTGCTTTTCTCTCAGTACTGCATCATATAGTATCGTAGCATACGGTACTGTACGATACGAAAGGAAAAGAATTACGTAACGCTACAAAAAAAAATTCGATTTACTTTAATCCCGTTGAAGCTCGGGCCTGGTCAAGGCGCAACCTCGCCGCGCCACGCTCATCTCGAGCTTGCGCGTAACGAGTGCGTGCATTTACGCACGTTGAAAGTTTGTAAACATTATTTATGGGAGCGTTTTCCGTGAGGTCGGACTTCCGTAAGCCGGGTCTTCCGCAACCCGGGGACTTGCTGTATGCTGAACTTCTTTCGCACCCCACGTAGCCAAACGTGCTCATTGGAGGTGCGGGGGTAGGACGACAAGAATCCGATGAGATATTAAAATTTTTTTCCCCCACAGATGTCCAGTGGGGGCGGCTCAGAAAGTTACAACAAAAAGCAATGCACAGACACGATAGGAGCGCAGAGCAAGAAAGCTAAGCGGGTCACTAAACGCAAATTGCACGACTGCTGAAACGATGGGGCAAGTTTCTGCAATACTCTTCCCCACCCGCTCGCCACTCGGCGGCATCGTGAGTGAGTAGATCACAGAGGTAGTCGACTGGCAGAGCCACGTGTGGTTGGGGTAAAGTGTGGGTAACACCCCACGTCTTCCAAGGATTCTGTCCGGCGTGGAAGGAATCGGCCAAACCGCTCCCTTCGAGAGCAGCGGTTCTTCAGTTTTGGCTGTAGCCTTGCACCCCTTTGGTTCTTAACCGTAGAAAAAGTACAATGAGAATACATACATAGAGGGTTTTATGAGACAAAGTAAGTTCTACTTAATTTGTGTTTTCGACGACTTACCTTCGAAAATAAATCTGGCCATGTCTCGCTACGGCCCAGAAAGGGCATCTCGCACCCCAGGGGGTGCAGCGTGCACCCCAGGTGAAGACGAATCACTGCTCCAGAGTAGCAGTGGCCAACTGGCGCCTCGCGTATCACGTGCGGATCTTTAAATCCACCACACGCGCGCCTCTACCCAATAGGGCATAACGTAGCACGCACAATCACAGGAGTAGCAACGACATAATGGAGGTCTCCCGTGCTGTGCTGTGCCTCTACTTACGAACGAGTTAGGTTCATAGAGGTCTGTTCATAAGTCGATTTATTTCTAAGTCCAACTTTACTCCCATCGATTCCAAACATGTTGTACTCCATGCACACTAAGCACGGCGGATGGCTTTAAAGGTTGTATAATCTCCTGTAGATGTAGATGCCACTGGTTCATCGCGTTCTGCAGATGTAGATGCCACCGCCGCCATCTATTGATTATCTTGGGGCGCCACGGTGGCTAGGAGATGTTAACTCCCTTGCCTGGTATGCAGGAGGTCGTGGGTTCAATCATGACCCTGACGCCTGCTGCTGTATATTTGGAGTTTGCGTGTCTCTCTCTCTCTCCCTGTGGTCGTGTGGGTTTTTCTCCGGGTCCTCCGGTTTTCCTCCCCACATTCAGAATAAGCATCACGCGTTTAGTGTCTTTGGCTGCGATACATTTCCACGCGATGATGATGATGATGAGCCACTTCCGTTGGGCGACCATTTGTGGCCAGGTCGCTTCTGAACAAGGGCTACTATGCGGCTCAGTGGGCCTTGCCTGGTAAAATAAAATTTAAAAAATTTAAAAGATAGATTTTTTTTCATTTTATTTTTCTACCATCGTGACTTTACCGAAAGAACCAAAGAGTAAAGATTCCTGCAGTCACGAACGTTTCAAATCAAGATAAAAAAAATAAGTTTTAGTTTATTTTATTACATCGCGGAACTGACAGATGGGGACAGCTTGGGAAGGGCTTCTTCCAGCAGTGGATAGACCATGGCTGATTAATTATGTCACTTTTTTGCTTCTTTTACAACGACTTTTGCATTTAAATCTGCGTCCTGCGTATCGCAATGCGTGCCGAAGTGTGCCCGACGCGTGCGTGTATGTGTGTGTGTGTGCGTGCATGTGTGTGTGCGTGTGTGTGTGCGTGCGTGTGTGCGTGTGTGTGTGCGTCTGTGCGCGTCCGTGCGTGTGTGCGTGCGTGTGTGTGTGCGTCTGTGCGCGTCCGTGCGTGTGTGCGTGCGTGTGTGTGTGTGCGTCCGTGCGTATGTGCGTGCGTGCGTGTGTGTGTCCGTGCGTGTGTGCGTGCGTGCGTGTGTGCGTCCTTGTGTGCGTGCGTGTGTGCGTCCGTGCGTGTGTGCGTGTCTGTGTGTGTGTGCGTGTTCGTTCTTGTGTGTGCGTGTGCGTCCTTGTGTGTGCGTGTGCGTCCTTGTGTGTGCGTCCTTGTGTGCGTGTGTATGTTTGCGTGTGTTCGTGCGTGTGCGCGTGTGTGTGCGCGTTCGCGTGCGTGTGCACGTCGTTGTCATTGTGACACTTGATTTGTTGTCCTTCCCCTGCACCTCCGATTTGCACGGTTGGCTATTTACGGTGCGAAAGAAGTTAAATGTACTGTACATACTTACTGCCCATAGACTCACACTACCCATAGACTCAACACTGTCCATAGACTAACACTGCCCATAGACTCAACACTGCCCATAGACTAACACTACCCATAGACTTAACACTGCCCATAGACTCAACACTGCCCATAGACTAACACTACCCATAGAATGAGAATAAAATAATAAATTGATAAAATAAAATAACACAATCATATTCTCACGACGTTTCGGCCACAACACAAGCGGCCTTCATCAGGTGAAGGGGACGAGACTGTCTGGAGGACAGCATTGCCCATAGACTAACACTGCCCATAGACTAACACTGTCCATAGACTCAACACTGCCCATAGACTAACACTGCCCATAGACTCAACACTGCCCATAGACTAACACTACCCATAGACTAACACTGCACCTCCAATGAGCACGGTAGGCTACGTACGGTGCGAAAGAAGTTCAACGTAAAGTGCATACCACCCACTGAATCTCCTTGCCAAGTCTTTTTTCGCAACAGAGGGCAATTATCCCTACTACGTATGTCCCAATCGTTCTTGAAGAACTGTATCCCGGTTTCAAAGAAAGTTTTTTAAACTAATATTTAATGACGATTTTATGAATATTCATTTGTTTATGCTTGTATTTGCTGTTTGCAGTGCCGGATTAAGGTAGTGCGGGGCCTGTAGCATATGTTCTAAAAGGCCCTAAATTTGTAAAAATATTAAAACACAATTTTTTTATTTGCATAGTAAAGTAATTGTATTTTTTTTATTTGCTATAGAGCCAGATAATACAACACATCGCTAACATTAAAAGTTGAAGGCGGTGTAGTACTATAGTAATAGAGTAAGTGAAGAATAGCTTGAAAGCATTTAGCATATGTAGCTACTTTTGCTCCTAGGATAATCCGGCACTGGTTGTTTGTTGGACCAGGCAGCGCCATGAGCACTGTGTCAGCCATGCCATCGAAATCAATTTGAAGCGAATGTGGACCGGTTTGAAACTCACGTTTTTTTCTTTTTTACCGGCCTGCACTAATCCGTCACGACACATTTTCTCCGAAAGAGACGGACGCGTAAGTGTTTGACCGTATTCTTCATCAGGGGCGGAGCCGGATAATCCGAACCCATGAAACCTCTGCATTGGCCCGGCGGTGGATCGCCCCGGCGCTGCCACCCCACCTTTGGCGTCACCGCCTTTTTTCCGTTTTGCTCTCCGCGGCAGTGCCGCTGCGCGTGCCAGACGGGCGGAGGCGGCGGGCGGGCGGCCGTGTCCCTGGCGCGGTTCGAGCGGCGGGCGTTCGTCTTCACGGTGCCCGAGGACTCGGCTCCAGGTACCAGCAGCAGCAGCAGCGGCGGGGGCAGCAGGATGCCTCCCTGATGAACACATTGTCGGCGAAATCACCGATTCTGGTCTTCAGGCCTTCAAATGCCCCGAGCTCACACACGGGATATCTCCTAACTTCACCACGCGCCTTGTAGGTGGCTGAGTCTTTGAGTTGCAGTGAACCCAATGATTATGCCGATTCGATGTTCTCATGTCTGATATGGCTCTTGTTCACAATTGCACTCAATTAACAACAAATACCGGTAACCACATGAATATCTGTGAAAAAACTATTGGAGCAAAAATCTGGGAAAAAAATTGCTGCATGGCACAACGGGTTTCTCCAGTATAAAAAAAAAATATTCTGATTCTGAAAACAATAAATGTCCAGAGTCAAAATAAACACTACGTGTTTGCCTTTTTAACAGAGAAACAAAGACAGCTGCCGAAATCTGTCACAGTCAGCAGCACACCACTGGACCTCCAATCCAGGGGTTAGCCAGTTCGATTCCATCTCTGGCACGGCAGTTGAATGAATGCATGAGGGTTGTTTGACTATACTTCACCACGCTGGTCAGTGCAGGTTGGTGAACGACAGGCACAGGACAGGTTCAGATATCACTCGCTGCTGATGTGAACCGCGGCCATGAATTGAACTCAGGTCGCTAATCTTCTTTGGTTCTTTCGGTAAAGTCACGTAGAATGAGAATAAAATAATAAATTGATAAAATAAAATAACACAATAATATTCTCACGACGTTTCGGCCACAACACAAGCGGCCTTCATCAGGTGAAGGGACGAGACTGTCTGGTAGGACAACGCTGGAGTGAAAGAGCCACGTTCAGATCACGACCTTTAAGCTGTGTGAGAGGAAACAAAGCGCCTTGACAAAGGAATTAGCATATAATTTAGCATTGAAATGGCTGAATGATTAGCTTGTGACTGGTCACAGAAATAGTTATGTTAAAAGTTAAAGCATACACATCTGCAGAGGCACCCCTTGACAATGGAATTAGCATAGAATTTAGCATTGAAATAGCTGAGTGATTAGCTTGTAACTGCTCACAGAAATAGCTACGTTAAAGTCAGACCATACACATTCACCGAGGCACTTAGTACAAATCAGGTCGCTAAGTTCAGTGCACTCCTAGCCACCGCGGCACCTATGCATCACACCCTCCCTATACACCACCTCCGATTAGCATGGATGGCTACGTACGGTGCAAAATAAGTTCAACGTACATTTACCTTAGATGCATACTACTGGAACATTGCATTCGTTTGTCAAACATTACCCTGCGTTATTGTTAATCGCTTTTCAGTGCTTTATGTGGAAGTGTTGAATATGTGTCAGCTGCGGATCATTCCAATTTGGAAAACAAAACTTTCAGTCTCGGCAGTCCCAATGCCTGGCTCTGAATAAAGCTTTTAATGCGATCCGCCGAGTACAATTGTGTTAATTCTGCATATTGTTTGCGCCGGCATTTGTTTGACCAGGCAGCACTGTGGGCACTGTGTCAGCCGCGTCGCCGGAGCCGGGGCTTCTCGCAGATTTCTCGCTCGCGGACGACGACGACGCGGGGGGGAGCACGTTCCTCGTGGACCGGCGCAGCGGCGCCATCCGCCTGCTCCGCTCGCTCGACCGCGAGGCCCGCCCCTTCTACGCGCTCACGCTGAGCGTCACCGCCGTTCCCGCCGGGAATTCCGGGAACGCCGGGGACTCGCGTAACCCCCGGAGCGGCGGCGGCGGCGGCGGCGGCGTCGAATCGGGGGTCACTTCCGAGGGATCGGCACCGCTGGGGAATCCGCCCGACGCTTCTGCCGGCGATGGAGACACCCCCCGAGTCGCCGGGAGCGCTGGGAATTCCGACGGCAGCGGGACGCTTGCGCGGGTTTACGTCAGCGTGCTGGACGTGAACGACAATGCGCCGGCGTTCGCGAGCTCGCGGCTGGAGGTGGAAGTGTGCGAGGACGCGGCGCTGGGAGCCGCCGTCGTCAGCCTCAACGCCAGCGACCCAGACGAAGGTGAGGACTTGCGGGTTCCCCTCGTCTGCGGGAGCCCCCCCCCCTAGGCGCCCCTCCCCCCCTTCCCCACCCAAAGCCTGGTCCGCCGCGTGAAGTCATTGCGGCGGCGATGCGGAGTGGATTCAGGTGGGCAAGGACTCGGTGTGTGCGGGTAAGGCTGCCAAATTTCTTGACAGGCTAAAACCAGGACTCACGCGCGGCTGGCCACCCATTCCTCCGTGAGCGCCGCCCACTTTGTACATGGCCACGCCCACTAGGCCGCTAGCCCCGCTTGCTTCTGAGGTAGCTCCGCCTATTTCCTCGCATCAACTAAAACTAAACTATATTTTAAACGCATCAGCCATTGTCTATCCACTGCTGGAAGAAGCCCTCCCCAAGCTGTCGCCGTCTAAAGATAAACTTTTTAAAAATTCTACCAGGTAAGGCCTGCTGAGCTATATAGATCTTTTTCAGAAGCGACCTGGCTATCACAAATGGTAGCTCAACAAAGTGGCCAAAAGCTGCCTCTGCGAGGATGACCGGAGTTCGCATGATGATGGTTTATGGTCCTTGATGAGATCAGCCAAGATATCGTGGTTAGTTTGTGGAAAGCACTCTGTGTGTAATGAGTGCCACCTTAGAATGTATTTGTTTGGCCCCTGAAAGCCAATGCAGCTCAGCGAGCACTGGACGGACACGGTGGGACCTTGCAGTAAAACGAAACTATTTTTTATTTTACCAAGTAAGGCCCGCTGAGCTGCATAGATCTTTTTCAGAAACGACCTGGCAACGAATAAGAGCTCAACAAAGCGGTCGTTCACGTGGAAAGGTAAAGCAGCCAAATACTCTAAAGGCACGTTGATTCTAAATGTGGAGGGGAAAACCAGAGGACCCAGAGACAAATCGACACGACCACGGGGAGAGAGGGAGACACGCAAACTCCAAGTATACAGCAGGCGTCAGGGCTGGGATCGAACCCACGATCTCCTGCATACTAGGCGAGGTAGTTAATATCTCGCCCATCGAGCATGAGGCCATGAAACTTGAGAGCTGGCGCCTAGACCCCTCCCCGACTGGTGCCAGGCTGCAGGGCACGAGGTGGCACGCTCACTTCAGCGCCCGCTCCCAACAGTTCCATGATCCCAGTCCTGATATTCACGAATGCTGTGGGACATTCATTCTGAGACCGGAGAAAACAAAAAACTCTGATAGCGTTACTCCCAGGGCCTGAGTTGGAGTTGAGCTGCCCTAGTGAGATTAAGATTCCTCCCCAGGCCTTGCTGGGGTCATGCCACGCTGAGAGCAGAATTTATTACGTGATCTCCCTTTAGGGTTTTCCCTGCAACTTTTTAAGGGTGTACGCCGGTGGTGCTGAGGCCCTTTCCGAATCTGCTATCGCTGGGCTTGTCCTATGGCTTCTTAAAGACGGGGTCCACGCGTGCCGTGGGAATCACCGTGAACGTCGTGGGTCCTTTTTTTTGTCCCGGCATTGCTCGAGTGATCCCGTGACTTGACGACCTCATTGCAACTTGCTGGGCCCGTTTCCTGGCTAGTGCATGGATGCTGTTATTTTTTGTGTACCTTACATCCATTCCCCCCCCCCCCCCACGCTTATTCTGTTACGCTGATTGTGTTGTCGGCATCGCGTCATGAGAAAAATAATCTATTCATCCATAATAGCGGATTGTTTGGGTTCAATCGCGTCAATATAAATGTGTGTCGCTAAACCCGCCACCACCCGACACAGCAAATTAGTAGGGTTTGTCACGTCAACAAATCGTGCCAATTCGTTACTAGTTGAGCACTACAACGGTTGTGTGTTGGAGAGTAAACCCACCACAACATTTACAATTCGAGTGCCGATAATTACAACAATCACCAAGCGGCAGACAGAGTTATGGAGAAATCCTCCTCCTGTTTCGGTCTTAAATAATATTAATAATAATAATACATTCAGATCTCGCACTGAACATTGCAACCCTTGGTGTTTATAGAACGGCCCACAGAAATGTATATCACAGAGCTATCTCCGATATCTCTTCAAGTGACCTCTGTTGTGCACAAAAGTGGGCAGAACTTGTCCAAATGCTCTGCTTCAGAGACAAATCAGAATATTTAAGATTTTCAAAAGCAGAATATTGTGTTTATAATGGCAGAATCTGATGAGCTATAAAGCTATTTTTAACAGATGTCCAGTAGGGGCACAGGGCAAGAACGTTACAACAACGAACACACAACAAAAACATGATAGGAGTGCAAAGTACAAGGAAGGTAAACAGATGACCCAAACACAAACAAACAAAAACCTATCCCCATCCTACCAGGCAAAGCTCACTGAGGTATTAACTTATTTTTCAGAAGCGACGTGGCCACAAAACAAAGCTCAACAAAGTGGCCCATCGTTCGGACATTTACAAAGAGCGAGAATTTATCAAATTGAGGTGCAAATGTAATGTTATTGATGTATTTTTTAAATATGCGGTCATTCGTCGCTGGGCTGAGACCACCAACTCACTGTGCTTGAGGACGCAGTTTAGCCACAGGCAGGATTAGAACCCAGGCTCCCGGCTACCCGGCCCACTCTCGTCTTCGCTTGAGTACTCTTGTTTAGCGACAGGCAGGATTAGAACCCAGGCTCTCGGCTACCCGGCCCACTCTCGTGTTTGCTTGAGGACTCTGTTTAGCCACAGGCAGGATTAGAACCCAGGTTCTCGGCTACCCGGCCCACTCTCGTCTTCGCTTGAGTACTCTTGTTTAGCCACAGGCAGGATTAGAACCCAGGCTCTTGGCTACCCAGCCCACTCTCGTGTTTGCTTGAGGATTCTTGTTTAGCCACAGGCAGGATTAGAACCCAGGATCTCGGCTACCCGGCCCACTCTCGTCTTCGCTTGACTACTCTTGTTTAGCCACAGGCAGGATTAGAACCCAGGCTCTCGGCTACCCGGCCCACTCTCGTCTTCGCTTGAGGACTCTGTTTAGCCACAGGTAGGATTAGAACCCAGGTTCTCGGCTACCCGGCCCACTCTCGTCTTCGCTTGAGTACTCTTATTTAGACACAGGCAGGATTAGAACCCAGGCTCTCGGCTACCCGGCCCACTCTCGTCTTCACTTGAGGACTCTGTTTAGCCACAGGTAGGATTAGAACCCAGGCTGTAAGCTACCCGGCCCACTCTCGTGTAGCCCATCGTAACTGTGCGACTGACCTTTTGTGGGATATGCGGGAGGTTGTGGGAATGGTGGCGCATGTGTACGTGTATGTATTGCTTTGTATGTACGTTGAACTTCTTTTGCACCGTACGTACAGTGAGGGAAAAAAAGTATTTGATCCCCTGCTGATTTTGTACGTTTGCCCACTGACAAAGAAATGATCAGTCTATACTTTTAATAGTCGGTTTATTTGAACAGTGAGAGATTATTTGAAAAGTGAGAGACAGAATAACAACAAAAAATCCAGATAAACGCATGTCAAAAATGTTATAAATTGATTTGCATTTTAACGAGGGAATAAGTATTTGACCCCCTCTCAATCAGAAAGATTTATGGCTCCCAGGTGTTTTTTGTACAGGCAACGAGCTGAGATTAGGAGCACAATCTTAAAGGGAGTGCTCCTAATCTCAGCTTGTTGCCTGTATAAAAGACACCTGTCTACAGAAGCAATCAATCAATCAGATTCCAAACTTTCCACCATGGCCAAGACCAAAGAGCTCTCCAAGGATGTCAGGGACCTACACAAGGCTGGAATAGGCTACACGACCATTGCCAAGTAGCTTGGTGAGAAGGTGACAACAGTTGGTGCGATTATTCGCAAATGGAAGAAACACAAAAGAACTGTCAATCTCCCTCCGCCTGGGGCTCCATGCAAGATCTCACCTCGTGGAGTTGCAATGATCATGAGAACGGTGAGGAATCAGCCCAGAACTACACGGGAGGATCTTGTCAATGATCTCAAGGCAGCTGGGACCATAGTGACCAAGAATACAATTGGTAACACACTACGTCGTGAAGGACTGAAATCCTGCAGCACCCGCAAGGTCCCCCTGTTCAGGAAAGCACATATACATGCCCGTCTGAAGTTTGCCAATGAACATCTGAATGATTCAGAGGACAACTGGGTGAAAGTGTTGTGGTCAGATTAGACCAAAATGGAGCTCTTTGGCATCAACTCAACTCGCCGTGTTTGGAGGAGGAGGAATGCTGCCTATGACCCCAAGAACACCATCCCCACCGTCAAACATGGAGGTGGAAGCATTATGCTTTGGGGGTGTTTTTCTGCTAAAGGGACAGGAAAACTTCACCGCATCAAAGGGACGATGGACGGGGCCATGTACCGTCAAATCTTGGGTGAGAACCTCCTTCCCTCAGCATTGAAAATGGGTCGTGGATGGGTATTCCAGCATGACAATGACCCAAAACACACGGCCAAGGCAACAAAGGAGTGGCTCAAGAAGAAGCACATTAAGGTCCTGGAGTGGCCTAGCCAGTCTCCAGACCTTAATCCCATAGAAAATCTGTGGAGGGAGTTGCCAAACGTCAGCCTCGATACCTTAATGACTTGGAGAAGATCTGCAAAGAGGAGTGGGACAAAATCCCTCTTGAGATGTGTGCAAACCTGGTGGCCAACTACAAGAAACGTCTGACCTCTGTGATTGCCATCAAGGGTTTTGCCACCAAGTACTAAGTCATGTTTTGCAGAGGGGTCAAATACTTATTTCCCTCATTAAAATGCAAATCAATTTATAACGTTTTTGACATGCGTTTTCTTGATTTTGTTGTTGTTATTCTCTCTCTCACTGTTCAAATAAACCTACCATTAAAATTATAGACTGATCATTTCTTTGTCAGTGGGCAAACGTACAAAATCAGCAGGGGATCAAATACTTTTTTCCCTCACTGTAGCCGACCGTGCTCATCGGAGGTGCGGGGGAAGGACAACAAACTTAACACAAAAAGCCGCTCTAAAGGAATTTGTTTCCAATTTAGTATGGTAGTGTCGTGTATCGTAGTGAAGTGTACAGTATTGTAATATATGATAGTGTAGTGTGTGTAGTGTAGTGTATGGTAGTGAAGTGTGTAGTATTGTAATATATTGCAGTGTATAGTGTAGTGTTTGTAGTGCAGTATATAGTTGCGTCGTGTATAGTATTGTAATATATTGTAGTGTATAGTGTAGTGTGTGTAGTGTAGTATATAGTTGTGTAGTGTATAGTATTGTAGTGTATAATAGTGTAGCGTATAGTGTTGTATATAGTAGTGTAGTGTGTAGTGTATTTTAGTGTATAATAGTGTAGCGTATAGTGTAGTTGTGTAGTGTATAATTGTGTAGCGTATAGTGTAGTATATAGTAGTGTAGTGTATTGTTGTGTATAATAGTGTAGTGTATAGTGTAGTATAAGTAGTGTGCAGTGTATTGTAATGTGTATGTATGTTGAACTTCTTTCGCACCGTACATAGCCACCCGTGCCAATCGGAGGTGCGGGGGAAGGATAATAAAACTGACACACCTAAAGCCCCTCTCACGAAATGAGTGATCGCCGTTGGCTGAGGTGCTCCGTGCTCTTGGACACTTCGATTTCCTGTCTGTGCCGTGCTCTTACCATGGACCCGTCGCTGCGTTTCGGTGGCTTTGGCGACGGCGATTGAGGCTCTGCGCAGGGCGGCCGCGCGTCCTTCACTCCACGTCTTTCTCCATACCTCCTTTACTCGCCGCTGCTCTTTTTTATTGTCACGCGTCTCCCCCACATCTCTCCACACATCTCCCTTCCCCCCCCCCTCCCCCTCCACATCTCCCTCCAACGCAATTATTGCTCTGCCGATATTCTTATTACTTCTGCAGCCTTTTGTCGAAGTGCTTTTGGGGGGCGCAAGTTGTATGTGAGTGCTAAATACATGCAAATCTTTTTTTTCCGTATTCAGACCAGTGATTCACTCCGTCAGCCCGAGGAGTCTTGGCAGGGCTATAGAAGCATCGGGACACAACAGAGCAACGTGATGTGACTTTCTGCGATGATAATAATAATGCCATTTATGTACCCACAATGTCCTTCCCAAGTCTCAAAACTCCGTTTTGGGAGGCTTCTGCATTGTAATGCGTTGACCAATTCCGTGTATGAACGTTTAGGGAATCTCCACACACACGAGGCAGTGATATTTAAAGCTCCGCACAGATGGATTCGTCAATCCGTTGCTGTACCGCCACCGCTTGGCCAGTTCGTAGCCCAAGCCTACAACAGCTGGTGTACTCCCAACCCACCTTCTATCCAATTGTTAACAAGACTCAAACCCCTGCTTAGCTTCCAAGATTTGATGAGGTTTGGGTGCCCGAGGCAACGTGCTGAATGTAACTTTCCGTCGCCGGCTTGCCGATGCAATGAGCCCATCGCTGGGGGGTAAGATGTTGAGCCAGAGATTACTTTGTAAGATGCCATGTTATTCTTCTCAATTGCGACGTTAGCCTTTGAGTGCTGAATGCAGCCTCGCGCTAAGCGGTGCTGTTACGCACTACAGATGTTGACATTGCAGTCAGTTTTCCAATGTTTTCTCCCACGTGCTAAATAGCGGCGCACGCAGACCAAGGCGTTTTGCAGAGGCCCACTGAGCTACGGTCTATGGAGCGATCAGAATAGCAACCTTTGTTTTGACTGCAGGAGGGAATCCGATGAGCTATGAAGCTCTTGTTCGCAGATGTCCAGTCAGGGCAGAGATGCGGCTCACAGAGAGACGTAAACAGAGGAATACGACGAGCGAGATAAGAGACAAGAGAGAGAGAGAGAAATGTGCAGGTGGCAAAAGCTATCAACAAAAGCCAATCCACTCCGACTTTCAACTCGTTAACCCCGTGGTTCAATAACCTCCACAGAGCCACCCGGCCAATGCTGAGGACCTCCATCTCCCGGTGCGTTTAGCACGAGAAGTCCATTGGTGCCACGTTACCCCCGACGGCCGAAAGAGTGGGTGGTGTTCAGAGCCCCCTGGTCGCACGGCACAAGAGCAACAAAACCCATGCCCTCTCTGACCCTCTGTTTTCATTAAAGAGAAAGCACAGCATTTTATAATTATTATGATACAAACGTGCAAAAATTATTTTTTCTTTCAAAATTGAAGATAACTGCTTGTAAACAATAAACCAATTCTCATACAAGTTGCTTGGCAGTATGGAACCTCTGACCCGGCCGCCCAGCCTAAGAGACCACACAAGCCCAATCAGCAGTAGCCTTAACCGAGTGCTGTGCACACCACCACCACCAACAACGTTTTGACATTTGCAACATTAAAAAAACCCGCGGTGCACAAAACAAAGACAAAGATTCCCCCGTGTAGCCTTAACAGACTGTTGGGGCAAGTGCTATTAGCGAGCACCTATGAAGGCCGGCACGGCACACGAGGAGGTGGGTGGCCAACACCACGACCGGCCGCCTTTGTTTCCCTAGTGACGATGTTTACACATCGCACCAGGTACTCATTTGAGGCTGAGTCGACCTAGAGGAGGCCCAGGACCGGTTCAGATACGCGTGAGGCCATGTGACTCGCCAACACACTCCGGTTTTAAGTGTGAAGCCCGCCGGGAAATGGGATTGAAGAACCAGCCTTGCAATAGCCACTCACGCGTGCCTATCCGGATTACAAGTAGCGGCTTAAGAAGAGAAAACACAATTACCCGCGTAAGATCTTGCAGATCTACACTCGATCCTTAGTGAAGCGATTCCATATGAACTGATCCTAAATGAAAGGAAAACAACCGAAAGACATTGACTTAAATTAGTACCTTGTGTAAGTTATTTTTTACTTTAGTTTTTTTAAAACTACATATTGTCTGGAAATTATTGTTACAATATTCAGCAAAAACTAAGGTAGGGCGGCGCCCTAACTCCCCAATCAGACTGAAAATATGTATTTATACTGGAGTAATCCGATGAGCTATACAGCTCTTTTTCACGGATGTCCAGTGGGGGCACTGGGTAAGAACGCTACAACAGCAAACACAATGCAATTGTCCACCCACTCACTGGCCTTGCATCACCAGTGTTAGACCAGAGAACGTCAAAAGGCGAACAGTACAGAGACAATGGAAGTATCAGACCACTTATAGCTCGGGACGGAGCAGCTATATCTATGGGAACTTTTTGCCAGTATCCAAAATGATGAAAAATAAGAATGGGTTCGTACCCTTTTGGGCAATAAATCACGAGTCGTGTTAATATATTCAAACGCCAAATGGATACCTTTTAGCACGGCATCAAGTCTGCATTAACCAGGCACACTTGTGGCGAACATGCTCTGATAATTAATAATTATAATTAATATATATAATGTCCTTGAAACTGGTCTAACGCGGGTGGTGAGACAAGGCCACGAAGAAGGCTGCTGGTGTAGACCAATCAGCTTCAAAGACGACAATGCGTGTAGTATTATCATAATCAGAGCATGTTTGTTTGCATGTTTTGGCACAAGCACGTGTGGTTTGTGCAGGCGTGTGATGCCTTGCAAAAGGTTTCTATTTGGTGTTTGAACAGCTTAACACCTCCTGTTTTATTGCCTGAAAAGGGGTAACACCTAATTCTTATTTATCATCATTTCCCATACTGCCAAAAAGGTCCCGTAGATGTAACCACAGTCGGTCGCTCGGCATGCCGCGTGCGGTCGTGGTGGCGGGGTAAAGTATGGGTACTCTCAACTCTCCCAAGTCGTCTGGCCAGGTGTGGGATGACTACGCCGAATGCACATTTTTGAGGAGCCTAAAAAGTGGCACTCTCCAGAGCTCGCCCTTCCGCCAGCACGCAATCGCAGGGCTGCGCTTTTACCGATGTTAAAGGCCAACGAACGTTTGTCGAAACTTAAATGTTGAAAAATAATTGCGACCCTAGGGTCACGAGTTGCACTGTTTCTTATTCTCTTTCTTGTCGCCGAGCGAGGCTTTGTGCTGCCGCCACCGCATGGCACCCGTAAGCCCTGGGTGGAGGGAGGAGGGCACAGGGGTCAAGGATGGGGGCAGGTGCCGGGCCTCTGACCCCGCGCTCCGCCTGACGAGTTCAGCGGGAAGCCCTCGCGAAGGCCCCCCGGTGGTGGTGGGGGGGGGGAGGGGCACTACCACCACCACCACCGCATTGGAGTGTGTGGATCGTGAGGCCTCGCCTGCCATGGGAAAGGCATTGAGCCTTATGATTCGAGGTTGTTGCTGCTGCTGCTGCTGTAGTTATTAGTGGTATGCATTTATATGCATTCATTCATGTCCTCTCTCCTCCCCTCCCCACCACTTCGCTCAAGGGCACACGAGTGACGCCGCCACGTCTATGCCTCTATTTAAGGAACGCAACAGGAGGATTTCTTCGCAAATCTGGCCGTCGCCTGATGAAGCTAGTTGTAATTACTGGCGAAACGTCGTGCTCCGATTGTAAAAGTTGCGGCTTTGCTCTCCTACTGTACTCGTGACGAATTGGCAAGTTCTGTTTATGTGATAAACCTGACTAATTGTCTGTGTGGGGTGGTGGCAGGTTTATCGACACGTTTATATATTTACGAGATCTGACCCAAAACACCCTCTTATAGATACTGTTGTTATATCACCGCTAACCGAGTAAAAACCACCGGTGGAAAAACTTGTAATCGTATTTTTTTTTGCGGCAGGCATAGATAGACTTCTTCTTTTGTTCGTTCGTACATACGGCTGATGATGATGATGTAGATGCGGAGCAACAACTAACAATAACACATTCAGCAGGTTCAAGCCCAGACAGTGGCGGAGGGCATCGCCGCGATGATGTCTCCTACTTCGTATTTGTGGATCGGGGGGCATTGAGTCATTACAAGGCCGTAGCCATGGAGTCAACATTGGGGGGGACCAAATCTTCCAGGGGGTGTGGGGTCCCCCCCCCCCAGAAAAAAATCTAAATTTTAAAACTAATTTCTTGCCTAAAATATACAAAAATTCACTAACACATTGGATGGACTTTTTTTTAACAATAATGTCTAATAGTGTATTGTATTACATTGATCTGTTGTTTCTTTTTTACCTTTTCTTGTTTCAGTGTATGTAATGGCAGAGATTCGGGATTAATAAAGTACAACCATAACCACAATCATATACACAGAAATCTATTTTATAGCAATATATTGGGGGGGACATTTCGAGCATATTTCAATATTGGGGGGGGGGATGTGTCCCCCCCAATATACATTATAGTTACGGCCTTGAGTCATTATACGTTGTACTGTTTCTGTTCTAGATGACGACAGTCGCACCACGACTACTGGAGAAAGTTGTTTTCTTCAATTTGTCCGTTTGCGCATCAGGTATCACCCGCAGCTACTGCCCACGGTTCTTGCAGTGGATGCGGTTGAGGGTGGACCCTTGATGAGCTAAAAATCGCATCCACTGCACAAATCCATGGCAGGTTGCGCGGACACCCCAGGGCGTAGACTGAGAAAGCGCAGCGGTCTGCGGCTACAGCGGAGGTGTGATGATAAACAACACTCCACTTGCCACCCGCAGACTTTAAAGGGTCATTAGAATCGTGGCGGAGAATATAAATAACAACATACATCAGCGGACAGTGTGTGCCCTTCGTATATCTCCGACTCGGCACATGTATGTTGGATGTATGTTGAACTTCTTTAGCACCGTACGTAGCCAACCGTGCTAATAGGAGGTGCAGTGTTGAGTCTATGGGCAGTGTTAGTCTATCGGCAGTGTTGAATCTATGGGTAGTATTAGTCTATGGGAAGTGTTAAGTATATGGGCAGTGTTCAGTCTATCGGTAGTATTCAGTCTATGGGAAGTGTTGAGTATATGGGCAGTAGTAATAGGTTTTACCCTTTTTAACTGTTAGTCTATGATTGGTCCAAGGACCAATC